ATTTTTGTGTGATTTTGGGTTGATTTGGGGTGATTTTGGTGGATTTTGGGTTGATTTTGGGGTGGATTTGGGTGATTTTGGGTTGATTTGGGGTGATTTTGGTGAATTTTGTGTGTTTTTGGGTGATTTTGGGTGATTTTGGTGAATTTTGGGTGTTTTTGGGTGATTTTGGGTTGATTTTGGGTGATTTTGGGTGATTTTGGTGAATTTTGGGTTGATTTTGGGGGTGATTTTGGGTGATTTTGGTGAATTTTGGGTGATTTTGGGTGATTTTGGGGTGGATTTGGGTGATTTTGGGTGATTTTGGGTGATTTTGGTGAATTTTGGGTGATTTTGGGTGATTTTGGGNATTTTGGGTGATTTTGGGTGATTTTGGGTGATTTGGGGTGATTTTGGGGTGGATTTGGGTGATTTTGGGTTGATTTTGGGTTGATTTGGGGTGATTTTGGGGTGATTTTGGGTATTTTTGTGTGATTTTGGGTGAATTTGGGGTGATTCTGGGTGATTTTGGGTGATTTTGGGTGATTTTGGTGAATTTTGGGTGATTTTGGGTGATTTTGGGTGATTTTGGGTGATTTTGGTGAATTTTGGGTGATTTTGGGTGTTTTTGGGTGATTTTGGGTTGATTTTGGGTGGATTTGGGGTGATTTTGGGGTGATTTTGGGTATTTTTGTGTGATTTTGGGTGAATTTGGGGTGATTTTGGGTGATTTTGGTGAATTTTGGGTGATTTTGGTGAATTTTGGGTGATTTTGGGTGGATTTGGGTTAATTTTGGGTGATTTTGGGTCGCTCCTCCCCAGGTGTGTGGGGACATCCACGGGCAGTTCTACGACCTCAAGGAGCTGTTCCGGGTCAGTGACCCCTGACCCCTGACCCCTGAGTGACCCCTGACCCCTGAGTGACCCTGAGTGACCAATGAGTGACCTCACCTGTCCATCTCACCTGTCCATCTCACCTGTCCATCTCACCTGTCCATCTCACCTGTCCATGTCTCACCTGTCCATCTCACCTGTCCATCTCACCTGTCCAT